TATAAGGGGTGTAAGCACGTGGCCCAACAAAGAGGCAGATGATTTATTGCATTTTACGACTTTTCTTGGATCTCTGAATAAACTATACCTATGTTTTATGTGTCCTATTTTATTCTCGCATTCGCAGATCACTGTGATCAAAGTGAACCTAATAAATAAATGTCCAGTGGTTTTTGAGAAAAATATGAATACTACTTCTTAGAGAAAGTTAATATGTTATTTTCGTATGATGATATTATGAAATTAAATTAGATATGTATTGATAAAAGTAGCTTAAATAGTAGCTTTCACTAATTTAAAATGTAGTTAAGTTACTAATAGCTTAGCTACTTTTTCAAAGAGGTAGTTGAGCTACTGAGTAACTTAGCTACTTACAATATAAAGTAGCTTGTATCTTGTAGCTAGCTACTTTTTCCAAGTAGCTTACCCAGCTCTGGGTTGAAACTAGTTTCCTGACTGTTTCCAACCAATGAAATTCGCTCTGACTGGTTTGTGATTTCTGCGCGAACAGACCTTAAATCGACTTATTGACACCTTCAATTTGACACATCATTCAGTGCAAAACTTGATAGGTGTCAAAGCTGAGACCGCGGGCCTTTGCCCCAATAAGCTGCCCTGCCACCTTTTTCCGGCAAGTTCTCACGAGGCAGTAGGATCGACTTTTTAGATAAAGGACAGCGAGACCTTTAATCTGATACCCTACTTAGGGCATAACTTGATGGGGGTAGTGTTACGTTTTTTTCAATTTTTTAATAATTTGGTAAAAGATATTTCCGGCAGTATTTGCTCTCAGGCAGGAATACCGTTTAATAGATGCACCTAATACGATATATTGATAATAGTGTCGACACATAACTCGATCGGGGTAGAAAAAACGCGGTCGTCTCCCAGACTATTTGTTGTGTTTTATCATTTTTCTACGAGCGTGCGCGAAATGGCTCTTCCCGCACGATTTGCTATGCGGGAAGACTTTTTTCCCGCACCAGTGCGGGGAGACTTTGAAATAATCATTGTGACATGGAATTGTTTGTATTGTTGATACACCTATACCTTTACCTTTGATACCTTTACCTTTTTTTTTATAAATACCTTTCAATACATTTTTAATTCTACCTTCTGCACAATCGCATTATTCAAATTAAACTTCTCGTAACATCAGCTTTAGTATGCTCGTAGAAAAAATATAGTTCCTAACTCTTGCGGGAAGAAATTTCCGGCACTCGTTAGGAAAATAGCTATTTTGAAGAAATTCACATGAAACCAAAGTAACTTAAATTTGCTAGGAATCACCCGATCTGTGCTGGAAATAAAAACCAGTCCAAAAATTTCTGGTTATGGAGTTTCTACGCCATTTTGTGCTGAAATAATTGGTTGTACTTCTTTAGAATCTTCTGAAATGTTTTCTAACAACCGCCAAGATAATCTGAAGGGCCTTCGTTTAGAAATTAAATGCACTGCACTGCATCTGTTTTGCAACTTCCGCCACCTAACTTTATTGCCACTTCAAGCGCTTTGGAAAGACTAGTATTTTTTAGGCTTATTGTAAAAAAGCCACAAATATTATAGGTACCTAGGTTCCTACATGTAATTCTATCAATCTGAAATTTTTTGTGAATCTTGTTCTACTGGAACACTACAAACCCTGAAAGTTTCTTCTCATTTGAGCTTATAGTTCTAGAGATGAAATCAGGCTAAGGAATGAGAAGAGATTTTTTTAATTTTTCATTTTTTCCTCTTTTCAAATATTTTGGCTTCAAATCTTACATTAATTAACAGTCCTATAATATCCTAGTAGAGGACTACAAACCCTAGAAATTTCAGCTCGTTTCGACTTATAGTTCCAGTGATAAAATCGGGCTAAGGAATAAGGAGAATATTTTTTTAATTATCTTATTTTCTATTTAACTATTATAAATCCATAATACCTAGGAAACGAAATACGTTAACATACCTATAACAACCTGAGGGCATTATAAGCGGGTGTTATGGATCATAACGCCCGCTTTTGCGTGCGTTATGATTTATAACCGCTGATTTAAACCGCTCGACGTGTGTTTCCTTCCATAAGCGAACAGGGAATGATGCGCCGAGCGTGTGCCGACCAGAGTCGTAAAACCGCGCGCGGCACATGATGGCCAGCAGGAGTAGGGTACGCTCGGCCACCGCGCGGCAGCCGCCTCCGACGCGACACCGTCTGGTTCATACTAGTTCATACAATAGAAGTCGGCGGCCGACTCGGCATAAACCGCTCCGTGTGTTTTAGGCCTTAAAACTCTGTTCAAGATCAGTGTCATGGTCAGATATAGGTGTTCTTTGACACGATTCCCTTGATATGCCTTCCCCTGTCAAGATTCACCAACCTGCTTTAATATATGTACCTATGTCTTATTGCCTCTTCTCAGATTCCCATCTGTTCTTGAGCAATATCTTTGGAAATAACGTACTCTATATCTAGAATTGTTGCCATATTCAATCATTTTCAACATATCAACTATCCAGTCTATCCACATACTTCACATCTCTATGTCTGTCAAACGAATGCCCTCTGGAATGGCTTCTTATCCATCCAGTTCTACCCTCATGTCTGCGTGGTTTTCCTTCTCATGGCAGTCCTGATGTCACACGTCACGAGAACTGAAGAATAGGCCACCTCGAGGGCCACCTATTTCTTGTTGACTGCCATGCTGCTTGCCGCCTTATTGTCTGCGTCCGCGAGGATGGTCTTAACATTTGTATTATATGATTCCTCAATCCTTCTCGAAGGAATCTGTAGAGCATCTATTGATCTTCTGGATCAGTATGATATGTTTTAAAACTGGTCTTTACCTACCAGAACGAGTTCTAAATTGGGTTGGAGTTGTTAAGGGTATTGATGAATTATTAGGACCAGACTCAAGTGGTGTTAGGCTGTTTCTATTTTTATTTTAGCTTCTACTCAAATCTGTACCACATTCATTGGTAGATACTACTAATCGTCAAGTTTTCACCCTAAACAGCCGCTTCTAGCGCAGGCTCAATAGGTAGAGGAGGAGAATCGACAGTAGGGCACGATGACAAATTTTCTGAATACAAAGAAGAACTAAGTCGATTTCTCTTAAAATTGTTAAGATTTAACCTAAAGGTAAGAAAGAAGGATCACTACCATTAAGATCATTATTTGGCTGAATGGAAAGGCTTTAACTGGATTGGTATGCATGAACCTATAACTTCACCATTCACTTCAACCAAATAAGTAACATGACTGACACACTTTTGAACTTTCCCCACTGATCTAAAAAATCAATGGATAAACAATCGTATGGCTCGATTTTCTAAGCTTGTGCAAAAAATTGGGGTCAATATTCTACGAACAGTTGTGCAACGGAACAGCCTATAACGCCTGCGCAGTGTCTTATCTTTCGAACAACTGTTCTAAATTTTGAAATTCCTTCGTTTTCATTGGCCAGATTTTGTGCACACACAATACATGTATCTACTGCGCACGCTCACAGCTGTCCCAGTCAGTTGTTTTTGTTTACTTATGACCTTGTAAATTAGCAGCATTAGAAATTTAGAAGCGTTCTTTGTTTATCCATTTATTTTTGAGATCAGTGACTTTCCCCGGTATCCACTTGTTTTTGTTATTGCTATATGAATTTCCGAATATTTGAATTTCAATCTGTTTTATTTTTTCCTCCTTGAGAAACTCCGGTCTAAGTGAAGAGAAATGAGTCCGCGGAGCTTGCTTGAATATCTCTTCTGTTACACTATTAGGAGTGTTCCCTTAGAAAAAAATAAGAAGTTCACCACCTGATGTTGAAGAATTGAAGAGGAAGTGTGCTGTTTTCAGACAGAATCTTGCAAAAAGTTTTTTTAATAGTTGACACCTGTTTCTCAGCAAATCGATTTGATTGAGGGTGGTTGGGTGGTGAAAACCTTTCGTATTTCTTCCCAATGTTTCTACAATATTATATCCTAATATCTTATTATACAGGGACTACAGGGTGTCCCGCACTAAGGTCGACGAGATACGGCAACATATTTACTAGTCTTGAATCCTTTGCCTCTATGGATGGAGCCCTTGACTTTCTGAATTGGAATCACTGTTGAGACCTTCAGTGTCGATGGAATCTGGCAGCTTTCTGCAGATGAATTAATAAGATTTATAAGAGGATCTTTAATTGACTGAAAAGTATTCTTCAATTCGCAACTTCCACAGTTAAACCATCCACTCTACCACATCCCATCTCACTCACTATGATATTCACGCTTTCTATAAAGAGCGCAAATTAAATTTTTCTGCCATATCCTTTGGTGATATGCCAATATATATTTATCATCTTTTTTTACCCTTTCAATTGATTTCTTATTTCTGTCAGTTATTATGTTTCCCACCTTTGTTTTGGATTGTTCCTAGAATATTCAATCTCTTTGAGGTTTTACTTCGTTTTTTCTTCTCTAATAACTTTTACTACCTTGTTTCTATAGTTTTTATGTTCTTCCCTATCTTTTTGGCTTAAATTACTATTGTAACTTTCATCTCTATCCGCAACTGCTTTTCTTATATTTTAGTTGAACCACTCTCTATATCTTTTCTTTATTACTCTGTTTTCTCTTGGTGCGACTTTGTTTAAAATATTCAATAATGTTTTCTGAAATATTTGATACTTTCGATTTATATCATTATTTCTATAGTCCCGGCAACCAGTTGTAATCTCCCATTAATTTCCTCAAAATTTATCTTTCCCCTTGTGTTAATGAATAAGTCATCCTTCCATGTCCCTGTAGGCTGTAGATGTACCTGCACTATAGTTATCTATAATGATCACTTATCATTGGCGTCTCCAAAACGTTACTCTTAAAATGCTCTTTATGATTGATTATCACCAAATCTATTGAACTCCCTCCAGTAGCCGAAGGATACATTGCTGTTTCAACAATTCCTGAGATTTCAAAATTTTATAAATTAATTTTCTTATTCCTTGTTTTCTGTTTGGTAAATTAGAACACAAAAAAAAAAATCTTCTAAAATAACTTTTATTCAACTAACAAATACATTTTAAAATAATTAAAATATAACCTTTGAAATCCATCAACAATTTGCTTACATCCTTATTTTTATACTGTAAAATCAACAACTTTATTTCCTGGAAAGTATTTTTCCACTTCATACAGTTGTAAAGCAGGACTAAAACACTGAACATACTGCAGAAGTTATACAATTTATTATTAACTAATATTATTGTTAGTATTATTTTTTTTCCAATTTAGGAAAAACAAATATTTGGAATATTAACGAGCTTGCTTTAAAATTAGCAAAACAAAAAAGTATGTATCTTTAATTCCTGGAAATACTTATATACAATGATATTTACAATGAGCACAATACTGATTTTTACAAATTACACACAGAAGAAAAAAAATGCCTCGGGAACAGTAAATATTGTTAAAATTTTTCGCAAGCTCAAATATCAGCTTATAGTTTATTGCACTACATTATATTTCTTTGCCAAAACATTTGTAAATCCAATTTTGTGCTGCCCGGACAAACAAAATAATAACAATTATGTTCAACAAAAAAAGTGGAATACATTTTTAATCAAATATCATTTTTGGACCTATTTAAAAAGGAATTGGCTATACATAATAGATTTATAATACATAAGGCGCGTTTTGTTTTTAGAGGGTTTTGCTTTCAATCATCTCCACGTTTATTTTGTAGGAGACATACGGGTAGTATTCGGATTGGCCGAAACCAAGACCAGGAATGTCAACGTTCTGTAAAAGAAATTTTTTTAAAAATTAATCAATGGTTTTAGAGTGAAACATTTAAGTACCTATTGCTCTTTGTGATCAACATTTACCATAAAGTGCAATTTTTTTTAGAGTGAAACTTTACTTACATCAACATTGGAACCTTGATGTCCCACACTACCATCCAAATGTCCATAAAGCTGGTTCAAAACATCTCTAAGACGTTTCATTGACTTCTTATTGGGATGAATGAGGATTGCTTGGAAATTGACTGGCAAACCGTATCTAAAATTAAAAAAATTTGACACATTTTTCAAAACAGCGATAGAAAATTCTCTCACCTCAATACGGATTCAACAAATACTCTAAGGGCTTTGACATGGATCCATGCGCAGAAGCACTCACTGAAATTGACTTTCAACCATCTGACCAACGGTCCGAACTGCTTCTTTTTGTCCGTGGCCAATTTGGTAATTTCGTTTTTGCCCGCGGCCAATTGCTCTTCATCATAAGTGAAGTCTCTTACAATGAATCGCTTTTCTCTGGCATGATGCTTGAATTCGTCCATGACTTTTTTGAACAGTGTAACAGTGAATAGGCCGTATTCGTTATCCTGAGTAACCATCTGAGACGATCTTGGCACGATCATGTCGGTGATTTTTTCGTAGGTCGCGTTCCATTCATGGACCTGAGCCCTAATTTAGTTAAAGATTAGAAAAAGTTATGGAGATTTAAGCAACTATTACTTACTTGGGAACAATTACAAGCAATGTTTGCAAGTAGTCAGAGTCCAAGATGAAATGCTCCTTTTTCACAAGATCGGCCAGATTTCTTGTTAACAAACTTCCACTGAAACAAAAATATGTTTATACTACAAACACAACTACAACTATAACTTTTTTGAATCAAAAAATGGTGGATAATGAAGTGTTTGAAGTTTTTTTCGATAGTCAAAATACAAAAATAGTGTGTACCTAATCATTGCAAAAGAAATGTGAAAACTGATTTAAAGTGTGATAAGTGTTCCCGGCAGTACCACCCAGCATGTTAGGTCCGAGTTAAGGGTGCCCTCGGAATCAGGCAAATTTTATATCCATTGTGCACGCCAAAAATCGAGGATGAGACCATTAAAAACATCCTGTTGAGGAAAAATGAAACACTCTTAGTGCTGACTATGATAGAAAATCATGAACTTCTGAATAGTCGAATTTTGGATATTGAAGCTAAAAATTGAAAATTGTGTGAAGAAATCCGAATTTTGAAGGAGTAACGATATTAGGCCAAATAACAATAATAAAAACAAAGAAATCGGATCATCTCAACATAGCCCTAGAAAATCGTCAAATCAAAATAATAGTTATTTATGTATCAAGGGAATTATAAATAAATAAATGATTATTGACGGACTTGCCATTTTCAAATGAGTACATAGTTCAAATTGATAAAAAAATACTCAAGATTGAGACAAAATATAAATTTATAAAGACAATAAAATTAAAAAAAAAAAACAGGAAGATAAAAACATCACTTTCATTATGGTAGCATACATAAAAAAAAACACATCAATCAACAACAATAGAAAGCACAGTTTAAAAACAATTTTCCTTACCTAACCAATATACTAAAACTATCAACAATACAAAAAAGAAATGAATGAAAATGAGATTCAAATCAAGTTAAGGTAAATTCATCCATCAACAGCCCTACTCTAGTTGAAGCAGACTTTTTCTAAGCGTATTGCAACTTATGTTGAAAAAATCAATATCAAGCTCATTTATTACCCTATTGGCCACATTACACATTCTACACATAGGACTATTCAAACCATAGTTAGTCCTGTGAAAATCTATACCAAAAATCTCATTTTGTCTAGTTACTCTCTGAGGAATTCTAAATGGAACTTTTTCCAATAGCTCAGAACAATTGATTATGTTATTACAGATTTTATGAAGAGTACATTTATCAAACTGTGTCCTTCTAGACCTCAATGTTTGCAAATTGAGAAGTTTGTAGAGTTCGCCATAGTCTATATCATCAATTGGAATGCCCAACTTAATGTTGATAAGTCTTAAGAATTTTCTTCGAACTTTTTCTAAGTCATTTACATTAATGTCATAAAAAGGAGACCAAACTGGACATGCATATTCCAGACCTGATCTAACATAGCTACAATATAGTACCTTAAAGCAATTTACATCATCAAAGTTTGATAGTGTTCTGGCAACAAAACCCAACATTTTTAGTGCCTTATTCTTAATAAAGTTGATGTGGTAATCAAATCGCAATTCATCATCGATATAAATTCCAAGATCTTTGATTTTATTGACTCTCTCCAAAAGTTGATTATTGATATTATAGGGAAAGAGTATGTTATTTCTTTTTCGGGATATTGTCAGAACACTACATTTCCCTACATTCAACTCCATACAGTTAGCATTACACCAGGAATAAAGTTTATCAATATTATTTTGCAATTTGCGGCACTCATTTTCATTTTCCACCCTCATAAACATTTTCAAATCATCAGCAAACAATAAATTACATCCAAAATCCAGAACAGCAATAAGATCATTAATAAAGACAGTAGAAGAGCCAGATGAGATCCCTGAGGGACTAGATAACTCTTAAACCATGACAGCATCACTCCATGAATCCCAAATAGCTCCAGTTTATGCAAAAGTATTCCATGGTGCACCCTGTCAAATGCCTTGGAAAAATCAGTGTAAATTGAATCAATCTGACATCTCTCCTCCAATGCCTCCGACAGAGCTTCACCATAAGACTAGCAAATTAGTCAAAGTTGAGCGACCCTTCACAAATCCATGCTGTTTGGTCGATAATACACCTTGAATGATAGGAGCCATTTTATCACTGATTATAGATTCAAAAATTTTTGGGGCAATACTGACTTTAGAGATAGGCCTATAATTATCAACCAATGATCTGTCGCCTGATTTAAATAGTGGAGTAATATGTGAGATTTTCCAGCAGTCTGGAAAAGTACCAGTTGATAAGGATAACCTATAAAGATTTAGCAAGATATTTGACAGAACACATTTACATTCCTTGAAAAATACCACAGGCAACAAATCTGGTCCAGCCGCGAGGTGCACATTAAGGCTCCCAATTGAATTAAAAATATCCAGCAAGGCAATATCACAATCATTAATATCAACAAATCCATCAAACCCAATAACTGGTGTTGTACAATCTTTACTTTTATATACAGACCCAAAGTGTTGAGCAAACAAATTTACAATTTCCTTAGGACACTCAGAAGAAACATCATTATACTTCATGCTATTGCTATTGGGTAACTCAAAGTTGTCTTTTTTTGAGTGAACATATTTCCAAAACATTTTACTATCACTTATAATGTTATCTTGGACATTATTAATATAATTTTTGTGACATTCATTCATCAAGTTCTTTCTTATGGATCTTAGGCTACAGAATTCCTTATAAATTTTTAAGTCATGAGATTGTTTCCAAAGTTTATGTTTTTCTTTCTTATTCAATATAGTAGACTTAAGCTCTTCGCTACACCAGTTTGGGAACTTTTTTAGCCTTACATTTAGGAACATACATTTCTAAACCAGTGTGAACTATATCATAAAACCTATCCATGGCTGTATTAATACTTTCATCATTGAGAATATCATCCCAAGCAAAACTACACAAACATGAATTTAGCTGTTGATAATCAGCTCTTTTAAAATCAAAATACTCATATTCATAAATCATAACATTAGCTTCTACTTTATCTAGTGGTACATTAAAATTGATTGCTGGGTGATACTTATCACAGGGTAACATTGATTGATCACAAAGTTCAACACAAACACTTTCCATATCACAGAAGACCAGATGAAGAATTGATCCCGTTGCATTAGGGACATCATTTAACTGGAATAAATTCATATAAGCGAACATATCTATAATAACAGAGGCTTGATGTGACACATAATTTTTTAGTTGACACTCCTAAGGCGTCATTCGACCATTCTGCTCCGAGTAGGTCAAAATCCCCACAGACAATCATACTAGTGCAACTAGATACACTTACAGCCTCTTCCAGGGACGAACAATAATCATTGTATAATTCTAGTGGAGAGCTAGGTGGAAAATATACATTACCTAAGAGTAGCTTACAGTTTTCAAAATACATCAACACAAAGAGGTGTTCAATATTATTAATAGATGTACCTATCTGCTTAGTTGTAATGGATTTGTCAACAGCCACAAGCACACCACCTCCGCGTTTATTCTGACTAGAATCTCCTGAACGGTCACAATAGGCCCCTTGCATCAAATTTTTTTATTGCTGATTTCGATAGTCCATGAAAAATAAGTCAACACGTGTTTTTTCTTTTTTTTCTTAGTCAAAAATTGACGGAAATACAACGCTTCGAAATGTGCTTATTTTAGATATCCTATGACGCCACTCCATGCTGAGTATATCTATATATACAAAACTTAATATTTCTATAACTACCGGAATAATCATATTTGGGCGCAATAAAAAAAAAGTGACGATTTTTATTCGATTTCCTACAGTTTGCAATAAACAATAATGAATCACCTCAAAATCTACAAGAGCTATCGATTGTGAAAGCTAATGAATCTTCGACCTCAAACCCCTGACGTTCTGGTAATACACATTTACTGATTGAAGCTTTGCTCCAAGATCTCTAACATTCTTGTGATGAAACTGCATTGAACCATCAGGTTGTTTTTCTATCTGTGAGATGTTCGGCCTTGATAGCCCCTGTGAAAATTTCTTGAGCCTGGCAAGTTCCTTTGTCTCCTTGGCCCGAAAATAAATGGCTTAACTATGACATCTAGTGGCCATTTATTGCTACTTAAAATCATTGACTCCTGCTCAATTGGAACAGCTAATTTAAAACAACTGATATGATCTTGCTGAGATTTTAGTTTCTCACAGCCCATGGTTGACAGACCCACATCAACCATATGAGACCTCAGGGAGTCAACAGTGCAGTCAGAACTGAGGTTTCCAACATAAAACCATTTACAAGGCTTTGCGGCAGTTATACTCAAGTTGTTTGTGTTTTTTCCAGATACTACATTCTTGGCAGCCTTCAAACTATTTACATTAGTTGCTGAGTGTATGTGAGCAAAACCAGCATCAATAGCCCGGCCTACCTGTGATGCTGTAAATATTGTAGGTTCATTGCTATTTTTCGTTTGAACAGGTTTTGCTATCGAGGCGCGGAGCGGATCAACCGGTTTCCCTAACCCATTATCCTCCCGGCATACTGGTGCTCCAGCAGAATGTTCTTTTGTTGAAGAAAGTGGTGGTATATAGGACATAAATGCCACAAGTTCCTTATTAGAATCCAGAATCGCTTTGCAGGTGCCTTCCAACCTATTTGAAATGAGTTCAGCCTGACCATCAAGAATCCTCTCAAGAGTTTCAGTAATAAGTGGCGCCATTATGTTTTTAATACCCTCCATAGTAAGCTGGCCATTGGCAGGAATAGGAGAAAAACCTTTATCCAATTTTGCCACATCATCCTCGATAACACAATTCTTATTGGATGGCCCATTTCTTTGGTTGGTTTTGAGCCTTTCCACCTCTGCTTCCAATTCGTGAAGTCTTGAGCTTAATCCTGGTAGTGCTTGGAAACAGTCCGTACAGCCTGGACAAAAATATCTCAGGCAGCCTTCTTTCATTATGAAAACTCGGATCTCCGAGCTTCTTACTCCAGAGCAATTTCTGCATAGAATCTTGCGACAAATGTCACAAGGTAAGCCAAAAAACTCATTTTTGTCCTCCTTTTGGAAGCAGGCCTTACAGGTAAAGAAAGCACTTTAGATCCATATCAGGATTGATTATGAGGGTGTTAATACCCCAGGGCAAGGTTTGCCCTGCACCAATTGCCCGTGGGTATTAACACCTGATAATTCCCAGGGTACATAGATAATTTTATATCCTACTAAATTTACTGTATTCTGTCTATTTTTATAAAGGAATAAACCATAAATAAAAATTTCTATGTTTTCTTAAAGTTTTACCTATTCAAGGTAAAAGCAAGAGTTATGATATCCTTAACTCCCGCGCGGGAGTTATGAAATCCCTAACTCCCTTGGGAGTTAAGACCCTGTTTATGATTATCGTAACCAAGGTATTATATGGTAATAATAGTTCAGTAGGATATAATAGTTATTTATGTATCAAGGGTACTAAGTAGATGATTATGCCCTGAGGGCGACAGTCTTACAAAGCCGAGGGCCTCTGGCCCGAGGGTTCGTAAGTCGCCCGAGGGTATATATCTATTAGTACCCGTGGTGCATACAAACTTTTATGTCATACCAGTTGGTTGTGAATAATAAATACCTGGGAAAAAACTGTCACTTCGCAAATTGTCATCAGTGTGCAAACATCATAATTTTTTGACAAAAATAATAGGTTTATCAGCGTAAATTTATATTTTGTTAATAAAGAATAAGTTAATTGAAAACTGTTTTTTGCGTCTTTATGCCCGCGCGGGCCATAATGTGTACTTTATGCCCGCACGGGCATAAAGTAATGAATTATGTAGATGGTATCTAAGGTATAAAAACACAATAATGTATTGGTATGACATAAAAATAATAACAAACTTTTTGAAAAGGATTGAAGTTTTGTCGGTTACAACGACCGACAAGCGTGGAAATTGAAAATGAAGAGAAAGTTAACGAAAATTGGAGGATTAAAATTTTTGGTCCTGAGCGGGATTCGAACCCGCGTCCTCAGCATTGCCGGTGCTATTTAACCAACTAAGCCACCATCACCCTACAGATCTTTTTGATTTTTGATTGGTGTTGTTAGAAGTTGCGTGGTTCTTCGCTCATTGCCAAACTTCTCAATCCTCCAATAAATCCACACAATCGGTCCTAACTCGAATAAGCTCACTATTACGATGTAGGTTTCGTCCATGTGTGTTGAAACTTTGGTGTATGCGATGCCTGCATAAGCAATGTTGAAAAGGAATGAAGTTTTGTCGGTTACAACAACCGAAAAGCGTAGAAATTGAAAATGAAGAGGAAGTTAAGGAAAATTGGAGGATTAAAAATTTTGGTCCTGGGCGGGATTCGAAACCGCGTCCTCAGCATTGCCGGTGCTACGCTCTAACCAACTAAGCAACCATGACCCTACAGATCTTTTTGATTTTTGATCGGTGTTGTTAGAGGAAGTTACGTGGTTCTCCGCTCATTGCCAAACTTCTCAATTTTTTTAAATCCTCCAATTTTTCTTAATTTCTCTAGCCAGAATCAAAGAGCTGTGGATAATGCAATGGTACAGTTTTACCTAACGATACAGATCCAAACCTAGTAGGGCGAAACCAGCCCAAACAAACGCTTAACAATTAACAATAGAGAACCAGTTAGCAAAGGCACAGCAACACTCTAGCATTTTACTATCAAAATGTTAGAGGAATAAAATCTAAATTGCAAGCTTCAATGTATAATGTTACAGAGAATTATGATATGATACTGTTGACTGAAACCTTTCTTGACCGTTAACAGGTAAACTTGGCCTTGGTGGGTACTTAGTCTTTAGATGTGAGATCAGAAAAAAGCAGCACTTGCTTATCTCAGGGTGGTGTTCTCATTGCGGTCAGGAGCTCACTTTTATGTCGTTAGCTAATCACTCCAGTGAACAGTGTTGCACATGTTTTTGTTTCAATAAAGTGTCAATAACATGAAAATGTTGGTTGGGAATGCATATATCCCTGATGTCTCAGGTGTGGATGCCTACGAGGCTTTTGGTCTCTCAGTTATGCACTTGGTGGATGAGAACGCCTTCACAGGTATTTTTCTTTGGGGTGATATCAACCTTCCAAAGATATCTTGGGTGAATGGTGAAAACGAAACACTACCAGCTGGAAGTCTCTCCATGGAATCAGAATATTCAGATTCCAAATAAATACTAATTTTCCAGATTTGCTGTTTTCTAACCATATGAATATTAAGGTTTCCATCTGTGATAAGCCATTGCTAAGTTTGGATGCTCCACATCCAGCCTTTGAATGCAGTTTTAATTTGTTCAATAGTCAACCAAAGAATATGGCATGTGATTACTTTTATCATAATTTTAAATGTGCAAATTATCGTGATCTGAATTGGTTTCTGTCTACTGTTGATTGGTCCTTCGTTTCTGAGTGTACTGATTTGGAATTGGTGGTTTCGGAATTTTACGACATGACTCTACCATGCGGTTAGCTCATTTGTTCCCATGTGTAGATTTATGACACCCAAATTTCCTAAATGGATGAATAATGAGTTGAAAGATCTAATTTTGCAGAAAAAGAAAGCACATAAGATATTTAAAGCTTCACAATCTCTTCAAGACTATGCTGTTTTTTCAAATTTAAGGCAACAGTGTAGAGATATCTCATTTTCCAGTCCTCCAAGTTATATTGAGTCTATGGAAGCGCAGTTGACAGACAAAAAGTCTTTTTGGAATTTTGTGAACTCTAAAAAGGGTGACTCCGAATACCCGCAGTCTATGTCTCTCAATGAAGAATCCAGTAATCATCCAGAGCAGATTTCGGAAATGTTTAACAGTCCTTTCTCTTCAATTTACTCAGAATATAGGGATACAAATAGGTCGTTTGTCTATGGATAGGTGTGCAAGTAGTTTGAAGCAAACATTGGAACCAGGTCCAGATGGAATACTTGTCATTTTATTACAAAATTGTAAATATGTTTTAGCGGAAATTCTTTGTGAAATTTTTAACTTATCTTTGAGCAATGGAATGGAATGTTTCCCGTGCGTTGAAAAAAATGTTATGTGACACCTGTTTTAAGGGATGGAGATCGTTCTGCCATTCAGACTTATACAAACAATACATGATTGCCGGTTGCTGCATGAGGACTTGAATCGTTTTTCTTTATGGTGTACCAAAAATAACCTTTCCTTGAATGTAAAGTAGTCTCATTTAGTAATAGATTTAAAAATCCTTACAATTACAATTACTTATTTGCTTAATTCTGAACAACTTGAGAGACAGTCCCTAGTGAATGATCTCGGTGTTTGGTTTGACTCTGAACTCACTTTTACTCGTCACATTGATGTAATAACTAACAGAGCAATGCGTTTGCTGGGGTTTGCCTTCCGAACGCTGCGAGGATATGAGAATATTTTCACATTCAAGTTGCTTTATGTCCGCTCAATCCTGGAATATGTCAGCTGCGTTTGGCAACTATGCTATGATGTACATAGAAAAAGGTTGGAGAGAATTCAGCACAAATTTCTGAGAAAAATAGCATTCAAACTACATATATCAGTTGAAGAAATAAACTATACTGCCAACTGCCATTATGAAACCATTAGATTAGACATCTCCACCTTCTAAATATTAGATCCTCAATAGTATGATGGATGCACCATTGGATGCACCAAACCTCCTGGCAGCTATTGGCATTCATGTTTCTCCGATGAATGTTAGAAATAAGATTCTATTTAATGTTGATTTCCATAGAACTAACTATGGCTTAGAGGAGGTAAAGCGCTGTCTTACGGACATAAGGAGTAGGAAAGCGCCATTCTGCTTATGAAACTAAAGTAAAGCCAAGTTTTTGGCAGGTGTTTGGCACCCTTCACCTGCTCTATGGCATTAATTCTCCATTATGTAGGATAGTTGACAAATGATGTTTTATCAAAATGTGACATAGATATGTTTGACCATTCATATCAAAGATTTTTGGCTAAACTAAAGAATGTCTTATATAATTAGTCTTGTATTTATTCCGCTATCTCGTTATTTTAGATTATATAACAACATTTTGGAACATTGTTTTTCTGATAATTTTATATTATTCTTTTGACTTCTTTTAGTAGAATTGAGTTATTATTGTATTGTAAATGCTATATGCGTGAATAAAATTTGAATTTGAATTTGAATTATAACTAATCACTATTTTTCACACAAACACTTTGCAGAAACATGTATTTGAATTGTGATACAGATTTCTAATAAGAGAATTTGCAACTTACGTTTGTTTTTTCTCCAAACTCTGCAAGCTGCCCTTCAAATTATTGTAGGCCGTCGACTTGGTCTTCAAATCGGCATCGATTTGACCGACTTGCTTGCTGATAATGTCAGCAATGTTCCTCAGCGATTGCTTGATAGGATACTTGGCGATATCCCACTGGAACCTGGTCAAATAACTCGGAAGATCAGCTATAAGAGACAATTTTCCACAATTAGAGGTTGTTTTTGGCTGTTTTTTCAAATATTTTTGTCCTTCAATGTTGGTTTCTTAAACTCTTGTTTGTCAATGTAACAAGCGGATAAAAAACTGTACAATAGCGATAAGATGTTAGTTAATTGGTTGGAAATTGTGTTTGTTAATATAAATCAAATATATAATATCAAAAGAGTGATCGATATTCGATGGAAACAAAATTTTCTCAATTCTATACAATTTTACAAAACCCTAAGATGTTTCAGGATATGGTGCCTTATTCTTCAGACCGAAAAGATAGAATATACAGGGTGTCCGGAATAACTTGAAGTGAAGTAGATGGGAATTTGGGAAACCAATGAAGATACAGGGTCGACCAAATGTGGAAAAAGTTGCGCAATCAAGTGCCTATAAATAATATGTCATCAACTTCTTTGAACTCGGAATAGCAACGGATATACAGGGCAGAATAGAAAGTGCCTTTCATAAAATCCTTCACGTCTTGTTTATTATAAAAAATACAATCAAGAAATTTCCAAGATAGATGTAATACTGGATGTGATGTACATTTAATGTATGTACATTTCAATAATTTTATAAAACACACTTTTATCTACCCTGTATATCCGTGGCTATTCCGAGTTCAAAGAAGTTGATGACAGATTATTTATAGGCAGCAGTGACTATTTCAAGTGAGGAGCAGACAAAATTTATTTTGGGGTGCCCATGCCCTCAATAATTTATCTCAAATTCAATAAAAACCATGAATACTCGAGAAAATGTTCCTTTTCTTCATGTAAGTATATATTTTCAGAGTTAATTTTGACGAAAAATAAAAAATAAAAAATACAAGGAAGGCACAAATTGATAATTATGATTAATTACGATAATAATTATGTACTTTCTGCAACAAGATGCACAATTGCACAATAATTTACAATGCACCTGATGCAAAAAAATATCAATCAACTATAATTATACAACTTCCGACTAGAAAAGTAACATGAAACTCTTAATGCATCTTAATTTTCAAAGCGTCCTAACTCGAAAACGAAAAGCTCGGGAGAAAAACTTCAAATACAAAACTTATAGATCTCGTCGACTACTACAAAAAAGCCTATAAGAAGTATCCCCACGGGACACGGTTTTGGAGAAAATTGACCTGGAAAATTTTAACAAAATTACAAAGAATTTCAACTTTTACGGCTGATATCTCAAAGACGGAAACGGCCTGGAATCTCAATAAAAAAACATTTTGTAGGTAATTTCATCCTCTTTCAAAAGAGATATGACTCAAAACGATCGGTTGAGAAATAGCGGAGCTGTGAGCGAAAATGTAGCCTCGTGTCGGGTAATCACAATTTTTTTCTGATCAAAATCGAAATTTCCTTTTTTATTTTTTTTCGGCCTTAAGATGTGCCATAGCGAGAAGATCAAATTAACTTTTCGACGTATTTTTTGCTTCTCTTTTCAATGTTATTTTTTTTTTTTTTCGAAATTCAAAATTTGAATTTTTTCGAAAAAAAATCTATGGGGATAAGCCTTCGATTTTTTTTTTTAATTTTCAAAGCGTCCTAACTCGAAAACGAAAAGCTCGGGAGAAAAACTTCAAATACAAAACTTATAGATCTCGTCGACTACTACAAAAAAGCCTATAAGAAGTATCCCGCCACGGGACACGGTTTTGGAGAAAATTGACCTGGAAAATTTTAACAAAATTACAAAGAATTTCAACTTTGACGGCTGATATCTCAAAGACGAAAACGGCCTGGAATCTCAATAAAAAAACATTTTGTAGGCAATTTCATCCTTTTTCAAAAGAGAGATGACTCGAAACGATCGGTTGAGAAATAGCGGAGCTACAGGCGAAAAAGTAACGTCGTGTCAGATCACCGAAATTCTGGCCAAAATCGAAATATCCTTTTATAATTTTTTCCCAGCCTTAAAATGCGTCATAGCAAGCAGGGTCCCATAAGCTTTTCAACGTTTTTTTTTGCTCCTCTATCCGATGGAATTTTTTTTTTTTGAAAATCCGGAAAATAAATTCAAAATCAAGAAAGATGGGGAGGCTAACTTTTTTCCGGTACATCGGAGAGAACTGAAACTCGGAATATCGACTAAAAATCACATTTTGAATATTCCCGATTTTTGATTTGCTCCAAATTATCCGCTGACCAATAGAATTATAGACTGGGCCCCATGATTAAAATAACTCTAGCCCTTCGGGCACGCGTATAACTCCGGCCCTTCAGGCTCGTATTACTCCGGTCCTTTAAGCTCGCGTATTACTTCGGCCCTTCGGGCTCGTATTACCCAGTATCTCAGATTCACAGATTTTTGTCGTGGAGGCGCGAGATTGATTGAAATAATATTGTCAGATTTTTCTAAATTACATTGAAATATCGAAATTTGGAAAGTGTAATTTGTTAATTAATATTTTAATTAGGAATCAGGAATAAAAAACTGAGATTTAATTTTCAATGCCTCCTCTGACGAGCCGCCACTGATAGTTCTTACTCCCCAGTTACCAAACTTCCCGGGTATACTAACCCAACCTACAAACCACAACAACAAACTACCAAGTGTTCTGAGCATCGTCCTAAATTCCAATACAGGAATTATGAATGCGCAACTTTTTCTCCATTTAATTCACTCTGTATCTTCAATGGTTCCCAAAATCCCCATGTACTTCAAGTAATTCCAAATTCCCTGTATATTCCATCCTAGCATATTTTTAGTTTATTTAATTCCCTCTGCAAAAGACGCAGACCATGTTATGGTTTTACAAAATTAAAATCATGAAAATTTAAAAACTTTTTGTTTCTTTTGAAAATATATTAATAAGACAATCATTATTTCAGTACTGCAAAGACTCAGTTGTCTAAAACAAATTGGAGTGAGAAAACTGAACCCTGAAACAGTTCAGAACTGGAACAATCCATGCATTTTTGAGAGATTACGGGTTGATTTTCATTAGCGGACACACAACTGGGACAAATTTGCAACTTATTCAAAACATTATTAGAACTAAAAAGTTAAATTATCTTAGTAGTACTAGACAGAATTAAAATTTTCCAATCAGTTCAACCAACAACTGTATCACTTAAGGCCAATTACCAATAATCCTTGAAATTCTCCATTGATTATTGGTTCCTGGCCTGTAGACAAACTAAATACAGACAAGTTACAACCACATTACGTCATCAATATACATCTAGAAACACCATACGTACAACCAACAACTAAAGTGCTCAAAAATATAAGTAACAGACTGGGGGGAAAACTTTGCAATCCGCTCTCGTAAAAATCACTCGTTTTCTATATGGCAAGTACAAGTTCCTGCCAGATGGTTAGGATATTTTATAATAAAGACCTGTTCATGCACAAATAAGATTCGTCCTAGAGAAGCTTTTGAGTTTTTTATTTAAATTTAATTTGAAACTCCACACCACATTTTGGATTATCAACAACAACAAAAAATGAGAAATCTGTTCCTCATAATTTTAAGACCAATATGAGGTGGAGTCTCACCTAGAAAAAATAAATAAATGCCAAGCAAAAGAAATTATGTCAATATGAATGCAAATACTCACCTACAAAAATCCGAAATGCCGCTTATGACCTGATAAAACGCTAAAAAAATTCAAATGATATTCACACGAGACACCAATGAAATAAAATGGAGTGTGAGATTTCTCCAACAAGTTAGTTTTTGTTTCGGACGTGCCTGATCGTACCGAAACCACTTTACATGTCTGGTTGAACCAGGTAAGTATGATGACTGTGTCACGGACCCAAAAATACTTATAAAGTTAAACCTAAGTTATTTATTTTTTGGGGTGATACTGTGCAATTAGGTTAGAGGTGTTTCATTTTAAAATAAAAACATAAAACAAAGGAAAGTTTTCGGTTGAAAAGTGGTTTAGTACACACTGTTGTTTGATGAGAATTTTTGGGAGGAAGTTGATTCAAGCATTTTCCAACAATAATCAATTTCTAGTTTTTTTTTCAGTAAACATGTCTGATAGTTTGACCACCTGTAAACGAGCAAGAAATTATGTGAAAAACAGTTAGAAAATCTAAGTTAAAAGAACTTCTTCCCAATCCAAATTGAAAAAATTTACATCGATTAGCCTAAAAAAAAAAAAATAATAAAGAAAAAAAAACCTAAAACCTCATGTATAAAAAACTAAACAAAAAAAAGTGTGCCTGAAACCGCCTACATTAAACAGCTGCTGTCACCTAACAGGAACTTCGTGTCATATCAAGTTGCCACAAAAATGGATTCGCTCAAAGTTAGTGTTTTCGCAAAGCGGTTAGCGATAGTAAATTGCTAAGTTTTTACCACCAGACCGTTCATTTTGCGTAATATAGGCAACAAGCTAAGAACAAGAACTATAACTGGAGGTTAAAAAGAAGGAGAATTAAGTTCGGTTTTTTACAAATTTACCAAAAAAAAATGTAAAAGACTGATCTTAAGGATAAAAAAACAAAAAAAAAAGCCATTTGAAAAAGGACTATACATGGATTAAGCTATATAAAGACACAAAAAGGTGTGGTGTGTGTAACTGTGTATAATTGTCGCAAGAGAAAAATTAACAAAAACCGATATTTAGAAATATCGTTTTTTTTTTTTTTTCTAAATGTTTTAATAACCGAGAAAACGTTGTTTTATAATTGTAAAAATTTTTTTTTGGTCGTGATAACAAATAACATCGCCACAGCCTTTGGGACAAAACAAAAGGCTATAGAAGAAAAAATAATAAAAAATAAATAAAAATTTTTGGGTCTAGATTATTACAGGAACAGGACAATGATTTTTTTTTTTTTTTGCAATAACTTCTGATATTTACAACTAAGGCATATTTTAATAGAATTAAGGATAAATTGAACAAAACATTCAATTCATTTTATACAATTGAATAAAATTAATGAGAGAGTAGTCACTTGACATACAACTCCCAAATAAATTATTTTCCCAACATTAAACACACAC